ATGTCAGACTGTTACAGGACCTTTTTTTCATATAAAACCATGGCCGTAGGAACCGGGGGGGGGGGTGCCTCCCCTCCCCCCCCCCAATAATTTTGCCGATATATAGATTACTATAGTAAACATAGATAATATATGCTTGTGTCCCCTCAATAAAAACGTCTGATGACCCTTTTTTGTTTTTGCTTGTCAGGAAATTTTTGGTAGTGCCTCCTCAACAACTGTCAACTGAAATGTATGACTGTGCCCCCCCCCCCCCTCAAACTGAATTTGCTTCCTACGGACCTGAAAACGGTATGAAGATCTACATGTGTACCATTATCCTTCTCCGATCGCCTATCTTAGGTTTCCTTAGGTAAAAAGTCCAAGAAGATACACTGTTCAGAATGGGGTGGGCTAAATAAATACTGCATTTTATGGTTAGATTTCGTTTACACATTTTTCCCGTATTTCGGTAAAAGGGGGGTGGGGGTGGGGTGATCGTATGCACTAAAATGTTCCGACTGCGCTAATTACTAAAGGATGACCCTCCCCTCCCCCTTCTCATATATTCGAGCTCAGGGTTGAACTATATAAATATTTAAAGTGGTGGATTCGGGATTGGTGTGGGGTTGGACACCCTAGCTCCCATTTCCATCACGATTTTCGATAACAAGCATTAATTAACAAATGTCAATTTCACAAAACAGTTGCGAAAATGAAAGTGTTTGTTTTACACAACGGTGTGCGGAGCCAGGAAATCACTTTCTGCTTGTTCGCACACAATACTCAAGTCATTAAAATACGTGATTGCTTTACAGTTATCTTTCTGCTTTGTATAGTTTTGTACAACGTGAATAAACTACATTTGGTCTCTACGAAATAGGGAAGTTCAAACTAAACAAACAATTTCAGAAAATTGTGGTTCCCCGCTTTCGAGGTCTTTTTTCGTTTGTTTTTTTTGTTGTTGTTGTTGGGGGGGGGGGGCAGGGGTTTATGGCAAACAATCGCAGCTCCTCTGGCCTTTCCGCAAAGCTCGGAGTAGTTTTCCGCTTGTCGGAAAGGCCCGAGAAGTTGCAATATTGATATTGTACCTGTCCTCGTCTGTCCATCATGCAAACAATCTTTTATAAAAATTGTATCCTATATAAATCTTCACTAAAAAAGACTAACATTTCCAATGTTTGCATTGTCATAAAAGAATTGATGGTTGACCGCAGAGTGAGATATTTGAAGTGTCGATGAAATATTGGACCGCTTAATACGTCACACTATGGGCGGGATCTGCATTCGTTGGTGTTCGACATTGGCAGAATTGACCTCTACCGCAGTGCGGGTAAAGGAAATTTACATCATGAAAGCCAGCACAAGATCGATGTCAAGAAATAAATAAATAAAAGTATAACAAAACATTTAGTGGCTGTGTTCGCGGGCATAATGCGTTTTGTCAACCCCTCGGACCAAACAGTTTGGTTCTTGGGTCGCATGTTGCCCTCGAACCCAGTCAATAAATGTATAATACTTTGATGGGATATGTTACATCATTCAATCATTCAGGGACGTATAAATATACCAGTATATATCTCTGGTTATATCTCCTTTATGAAAATATGGAAGCCCCGTCTCTTCAGGTGCAAAAGTTATTTTTGAAAAGTAGGTCAAATTTCAAGGTCAAGCTCGAGGTCAAAAATGGTACGTTGTACTTTTAGCAAAAGCAGTGTCACAGGTTATATACGTATATGTGAAGTACATGTACATTATGAAAGCCCTATCTTCTCTAGTTCAAAAGTTATTACCAATGTTATAATTTCTGAAAGGTAGATCAAACTTCAGGGTTAAGACCAGTAGCATTTCTTGAAAGGTGATGTCACAAGTAATGTACTTTTTAAATATGAAAGCCCTATCTTCTCTCTTTCAGAGGTTATTACCACATTCAGCAAACCTCGGCTGATTCCGTCACCGAGGTACGAATCGGCCGAGGTGTGCGAGTGGTTATTACCAATGTTAAAATTTTTGAAAAGTAGGTCAAACTTCAAGGTCATAGGGGAAAAAAATCATGGCATATTTGGAAAGGTCTCATCACAGATAATGCACAGTTAAAATATGAAAGCGATGTCTCTTCTCATACAAATTATAACCAAGCTCAAAATGTTTATGACAGACAGATGAGTGAGGTTAATGTCCCTGCGATTTTGCGAAAGCAGGGGACAAACGCCCCCTTCCATGGGAGGGGGGAGGTTACTTGTGTACTATCATATGAAAGTTACGATGTGATACCCTTTTTGAACGCAAAAGATCTGCATTTAATAAATTTTGAAATCAGATTCAGTTGAATAATTCAATTAGATGATTAGACCTATCCTCAATTACATAAATACTATAAAAGACCTGATTAACCTGACCAACAAATGTTATAGATTTCAAATATTAACAGAAAAAGCTGAAGATAACGAACAGTTAATCTACAAAAAACACAAATCTGTGAAGAGGGCATAAAACACGGACCCCTGGAAAGTCCAGAGGTGAGATCAGGTGCCTAAGAGAAGTAAGCATCCCCTGTTGACAAGGTCACACCCACACATAGATAACTTTAGCATCTTGAAAATAGCTTTTAAATAGTTCTGGATTTTATCATGAAAAATCTGTATAATAAAACCTGCTATGTTAACTTTGTACAGTAAAACTTGTCTAATCTGGCTGTTATGTATTTTAAAATCTTGCCTATTAAGATGTAAAGGAATATATTCAGTAATGATGATTACCAGTGCCCCCCCCCCCCCCAATTCAAACTTTAATGCAGACATATACATGTATAATTATGTTGTTAACCAGGGGGATATCCACAGACTTGAAAGCATTATATACTTTCATCAGCCTTACGATAGAGATGACATCAAGGAGATGACAAAATTAATTATTTCAATGATTTTGAGGGAAAAGTGTTATTTTACGTTGATGTTATGATTAAAAGTCATCAAGCACAGGTCTGCTCCAGCTCTTTTGGTATAATGTATAGAATTATATTAATAAAATACATGTATGTGAATATTGTTTTGGGGAACGCTTGCACTTGGTAAATTCTACCCTAACAAGAGGCCCATGGGCCACAACACTCACCTGAGTTACTAATGGCCATTCTTGTTTTTCATCAGCAAAATCTTTTTCCTATAATAATTCCAAAGTAAAACTTAGACAACCCATCAGAGCCCAATTTCACCCCTACACTACCTGAGGATGCTTCCATAAAATGCCTAATCATGGCTTTCTTGTTCTTGAAAAGAGAATTTTTAAAGAAATTAAAAAAAAAATTATTAAAATTTAAAGAAGTTTCTATGTATAACTTTTATCCCCATTGTGACCCGTCCTTTCCAAAGGGCCATGATTTGAACAAACTTGAATATACACTACCTAACGATGGAAATGGATTGGCCATGTCCTGAGAATGGAAACATCGGATATACCGAGGGTAGCCTCAAGATGGTCTCCACCAGGGAAGAGAAACAGAGGGCGACCAAAGGAGACATGGTGACGGTCGGTAGAAAAAGAAATGAAAGATCAGGGATGGACTTGGGGCATGGTACAGCAGATGTCAGCGGACAGACAGAGATGGAGGTCCTCGGTGCAGGCCTTATGTGCTCAAAGCACGAAGATGACCAAGTAAGTAAGAAAGGATGAATTCATGTAAATATGAATTGACAAGGTTTTGCTGTTCTTCAGAAATTTTTTTTTCCTGTGTTTTGTATATATATTCCTATGTAAAACTATGATTGCCCCCTGGAAGAGGGTGTGGCCTTTCATTTGAACAAACTTGGATCTCCTTTACCCAAGGTTACACTGTGCCAAGTTTGGTTGAAAATAGCCCCGTGGTTCTGGAGAAGATGGAATTGTAAAACGTTACCGACGATGATGACAACATTTTGAAGACAGGCAACAGGTGAGCGTAAAATTGAATGAATTTTGTCTATTTTGTCATCTTTCTTGAAAATAATGGAAAATCCAAATAGTCTGTGACATCATAGAAACAATATTGCCGATAATCTACTTCCTAACTATAATATTTAATGTTAATTCAGATTTTGCATACAATGTGTACAATTTTGAACATTTCTTGAGATTTTCAAGATTTGGCTATGGAAGCAAAAATATGCCTTTATGGTATATAGTTCTTTTTAGTCCCTTCATTAAATCAAATTGTTAAAAATGTTGCCTTATGGGAATGTTATCTTATCCGGCCAACTTTTTTTGAACCAGTGGTGTCCGGATTAGGCAAGTTTTACTGTATTGCTAATACGGTAGTTATTAGTATTGAGGTAAAACATGATTTGTGCACAGGAGAAACCCATCAAAGCTCTCTCAAAGATATCTCCGTTTTCTCATCTTGGTGTTGATGCCCTAACCAGACTCTATTCCTCAATGAGAGATGGACACACTGCCATCATAGCTGTGGATAGCCACTAACAACTACTTCAGTCTTAAATGCTTGAAAATATTCATTTTAAAATCCTCCCCCTTCGACCCTCTCTGGATCTGCCACTCATCAAAATTCATATCAAAGAGAAAAATTACAAATTGTTTGGATTTAAAGTTCATGGCCTCTTTGTTCCCTCGTATGAAAATATCCCTCAATTCTTATGACTTTCAAAATGAAATTTAATTAGTATACATGTTATTAAAATGTAAACAATTTTAGCATACCTTGGGGACAAAATTTGACAAAAATTTCCCTGTAATGACAATTGCATGAAGGAATGATAGTCATTTAACCCAGTGGGTCCCTTATCAAAGGTTCAATGAACCCTAATCAGCAGTTCTAGAACCATTAAATCTTTACCTAGCAGATTTGGTCCTGTCATTCTGAAGAAAATTTGTTAATAACAAGATAACAAGACAGATGCCAAACAAATGTTAATCAGAAAAACTCAACTGAGCATTATATACTGCCTCAATGTATATAGAAATGTCAATATACATATATAAATATAAGTTATATGTAAACAAATATTCATACATTATATTTCTGGAATATTATATACAAAATATCACATTTGAATTTTACAAAATACACTTTTAACTCATGCATAGAATAATTACTTCACATATAAAGTTAATATTCAATTTACTAATGATTGCATAGCACACTTATCAAAATGTTTTTGATAATGTCAATTAATATTTTCCATTGCAAATTCATTGACTGAACTGATTGCACATTACAAACATAAGTAATCAGAGATTACAGAGCTCACCTCAATGAATGTTGTCTATAAGTAAGGCAAAATCCCATACTAAACTAATAATCTAGTAGTGTGCATCCCTTGATGTAACATTTATGCAATTTTGGTCTGATAGGGCTAATAGTTACTTTAGAATGAACCTGCTCCAAAATTTTTAACCTGGTCACTCATCCAGAAAATGTAGGTCAGATCCAGCATCAAAAGTAAGTCCAGTAGTTTGCATCCTTAGATGTGTAATCCATGCAAGTTTGGTCAACATAGCATACATGAAGTTACTTTAGAATGAACCTGCACCAAAAATTTTAACTTGGTCACTCATCCAGAAAATGTAATGTGCATTCTTAGATGTATCACCCATGCAAGTTTGGTCAATATAGGGCTTATAAATACTTGGAAATGAGACCTGCTCCAAAAACTTTAACCTGCTCCAAAAACATTAACCTGGTCATTCTTTTGCTGAAATTGCAGCATCTGAAACTTTAACTGGTACAATGAAACATACTAGAAGCATCCTCCATGCATCTCTGATTAATATAGGGCCTAGAAGTTCTTGAAAAAAAAATCTGCTCCAAAGACTTTAACTTAGCTGGGACGCCGATACTGAGTGTATTACATAAGCTCCCCCCAACTTCGTTGAGGTGAGCTAAATACTATAAAAATCACTCCATTTGCTATTGCTCCATCCCTTAAAGAAGTCACACATATATTTAATTTTCATTGATTCAGGTGAATTAAAATACAGAAAGTATGTGGATAACAACACTCATATAATGCCTCTAGTTCTTTCTGTATAAATGCATTATTCTGCACCTGCTAGTAAGATAGTAAGCTAGTCTATAAGGCCAACAATGTAGTCTCCTAACAATGTTACTGTACATCAGTCCTCTACTGAATTACAAACTGTGAAGCATCAATCATACAGGCTTGCTGCACTTTTTCAACAGTTGCTGGAGCATCTACGAAAACATATAATAATAAATCATACTCTCAATATTGTCACTCCTGTTTCAAAAATGTATTATGAATCATATTACACCCAAATAAGCACAGAATATAAGATTTAATGTAGAGCTAAGGAAAACATCCCCCCCCCCCCCCCAATACAGAACTACTCAACAGTAGCATCATATAGTAATTACAACATCATAACATCCTTATGGGTCAAACTCAGAAACAGAACAAACATACCTAGAGCAAAGTAAGTGTCTTTTCCAATATCCCTCCTGAAGGCCTCAACAGCGTGTTTAATGGCAAACAAGGCAGAACAGCTCATACACAAGGGGGGCTCACCACAGGCTGTAAACAAGACAAAATTATTTACGTCACTGTGTTTCCTTTTTCTTTTCACAAGATTATGATAATCTGGATATATATTATAAAGGAGTTTTTCTGAATCAAGATTTACCTTTAGCCCTGAGAATTCCCACTGGATTTGGGGCATTCTTCAGTAAGTTGATGCGGAAGTCAACTGGTATATCTTTTGCTAGTGGGACTTTGTATTCCTACAAAAGTGCATAAATCTCAACCCATTACTTCAAGTTTTATCATTTCAAACTTCATATTAAGTACTAAACAGAAAAAAACATGTAAAGACTTAAGGTAATTTTTGCTGTTTCCTTTACCAAACTTTCATGTGCATGCATGGGGAACAGTTTTACAAAAATGAGGAAAACAGATGGATAATCTATAATACAGTACAAACTACAAGCAGGGATCTTACAAATGAATTATCATTTTTTCTTTTCTTCTTTATGGGACAGCCAAGGCTAATATATTTAACAAGCTGATTAGGTAAAAATGAAATCATCAATGATTTTATACCCATGTGCCATCAGTGAGTTGTTGTCCTGTTTTTTGGTCATACTTTATTTCCTCTAGTAGGAAGTACCCCAGACCCATAACAAAAGCTCCCTCACACTGTCCTATATCTATCTCAGGATTCATACTGCAAATAAAAAAAAAATCATGAGGATGTCCATAACTTCAGAGAATTAAATATTCCCATGTGAAAAAAATAGGACCCTCTATTGTGATCCTATCTAAATGCACGATTACATAAAGATGCTTTGTGACAAGTTAAAATACAAGAGGCCCAAGGGCCTTAATGGTCACCTGAGTACAACAATTTAGAGGATCCATAAACTGATAAATGAGAAGCTTTGTTGCCCAATAGCAAGAAAATTAGTACGATTAAGATCAACAAAACAATTGGTCTACTATCTTTCTATCTGTCCCCCATTTATCACTATTACCATGCAGACTTTTAACACAATGTCTATATTATTACCTCTCACATTGGCCTCACTTGGCCTTTGAAGAACATTTAAGAAGACAAGTTATTTTTGTTTCATTTTTATTTATTCATTATTTCCAAGTCTACCTGATTATTAAAACTATGAAAGTACTTTTTATATTATACAATAAATGTTCTTGCATAATTTTCTTATTCTATTAACCTTTCAAATACATTATCTACAGTGATTAATTATCAAAAGTGAATGACAAAGGGGAATAACTTCACTCAATAGAATAAAAATTAATAGAGCCCTGGCCAGGACCAGAACACTTGACTAAATGGTCCATATGTTAAAATTTACAAATTTGGAAGAGGTACCCTCATCATCATAATTATGCAATTAGTTGAAGATTTTCAAAGAATTCACACATTTTCACTATATTACCAAATAGAGCCCCCCCCCCCCCCCCTTCAGAGAAACAACAGAACTCCTGGGACCACAAGTCTTAAAAATTTTGTAAAAGCATCCTTGCTCATCATAACTACAAAATTTTCTTTGCTTTATAACCAGGAGTAGAAAAAAAATATTTTGAAAGAAATTATGAATTTTCACTATATAATCAATAGAGCCCCCCCCCCCCCCCTTCACCAGAACCCCTGATCCAGGGGCCATGAAATTCACAATTTTGGAAGAGGCAGTGTACTTAGTTAGTTTATTTCATACCCAGGAGCAGAGAAGAAGATTTTCAGATTTGATGCATTTTCACTATATAAACAATAGAGCCCCGTCCTAATGCCAGAAGCCCGACCAAGAGGCCATGAAATTCACAATTTTGAAAGAGGCAGCTATACTCATCATAACTATGCACTTAGTTTGTTTAAATAATACACAGGAGCAGAGAAGAAGATTTTCAAAGAATTAATGCATTTTCACTATATAATCAATAGAGCCAAGCCCTAAGACCAGAACCCTGACCCAGGGTGCATGAAATTCACAATTTTGGAAGAGGCAGTCTTGCTCATCATAACTATGTACTTAGTTAGTTTATCTAATACCCAGGAGCAGAGAAGAAGATTTTCAACGAAATAATGCACTTTCACTATATGATCTATATAGCCCCACCCTAGCACCAGAACCCCTGAACCTGGGGCCATGAATTTCACAATTTTGGTAGAGGGCTCAATGCTTATTACAATCATGCCAACAGTTTGACTGCTTGATGTCCAGGAGTAAAGAAGAAGATTTTTTAAGATTGCATTAATTTTGGTGGTTTTAGCCCCACCCCTCAGGCCTCAGGGACCATGAAATTCACAGTTTTTCCCCCTTCACCCACAGGGTTGGGGTCAATTACTTTGAAATGTAATTAATTACTTTCAAATACATTGATAATTTTGTCAATTACTTGCAATTACAATTACATAGATTTTTTCAAATGTAATTAATTACTCCCAATTACTATGTCAAATGTAATTAAATACATTTCAATTACTTAAGCTTTATTTTTAAAAAATCTTGAGAACAAATACATATATATACGTCATTGGGATACACAAAGCATTATGTACTGAAATGTTTTTACAGTTTTGAGTTCATTTCAATCATCATCAGATTTTAAAACACAGCATCACTCAAACGACATCTTTCTGGTCTGAACAGTTTTCCAGCCATGCTGAAAAGTCTTTCAATGGGTGCTGAAGTCGCTGGTACAGCTAAATACCTTTGGGCTAACTGAGAAAGACAAGGAAACATGGAATGATTTTGACTTTAAAATTTTCAGAAACATTTTCTGGGACATTAAATTCATCGAATACTATTGAATTCATGTTTGGTTCTGAATAAGGTTTTTACTATAGTGAACTTTTATTCAGTGTTTTTGTTCTTGGGTATTAGAGGGGTTCACAACTGGACAAAATTAGACCTCTACCTATTGCCCTGGGCAGTGTGACATGCTGTATAAACAAATTAAACATTCTGAGACATTTAATTGCTGCACAAACACAAGCCCATGCCACACAGGTATACTGAACTGTGTATCTTAACAAGAGGCCCAAGGGCCTTAACGGTCACCTGAGTATAATACAACAATTTAGAAGTTAAGGAGGCTCATTACACCACTTTTTGATGACGTACTACACAGAAAAATAAACCTCCATTGTTTTGTCCGTTTTCTCCTGGGGACGAATTGTACAGGTTCGCTTTGATGATGATCTAAATCTTTAAAACGCTCTAAAAATAGACTACATGCGATTGTTGTAAACAATGGGAATTTGGTAACGGATTCATAAATAAATCACGAACGAAGAAGGGTTACTTTTACGTAGAGACCAAAGAGAATGACAGTCAAATCTTCGCTACCCAACTATTGTACAATGTCATACCGAAAGCCGCAAGTTCTATCCCTGACAACGTGTATGTATTGAAGAAATTCGAGTTGAAATCTACAACCTCGTTGAAATAAATTATAATTGACTTGCGCTTTTAGAGAACTGTACTCTTGTTGGTTTGTGTGCTTGTCTTTATTTCTTTGAAAAATGTATATTTATTTTAGAAATTTTAGCTTATTCTGAATCTGATATGATCAACCGTTCCTGAGTGTTTTGAGTCAGGGGGATTTAGGAAAGATAACTCTTGCAAGTGGACTTTTTATTCCAATTATTTTATAAATTGGAATTTTCATTTCCTTAAAACATTTTTCATTCAATTTGTCACTTGTTATTCATTAATATACATTTCTTGTTTATTTATAAATGATTTTCCAAATTATTCATGCAAAGATTAAAAAGAAAATCACATTAATTCTTTTTTGGGAGAAAATTATTTTTTCTAATAAAAATAATATTGAATATTATGAAGTGTTATTATATTTCTTACATATCTGAAGATGATATCCATCACTTGACACTGAGATTTCTGCAATACTTTCAATCAGAAACTTGAAATAAAACATTTTACCAAAATCAGAAAAAAGATTAAAAATTCTTTAAAAAATATTTATCGTATCATAACCTCCATTTGGATATTTGAAATCTTCATAAAAAGGGGTGCTGTAATGAAATCTAAAATAAACTGTGGGTGTAATGAGCCTCCTTAAATACACTGATAGATGAAGCATTGTTGCCCTAAAGCAAGAGAAGTAGGAAGATCAGGATCAACAAAATAATTAGTCTAGTATTCAGTATCAACTCATAAATTAAGTTCTAATCTGTCCCCCACTTAACACTATCACCATGCAGACTATTAACAAACTATTAGTGCTTCTGTACCATCTTTAAACCCATATTAAGACCTCAAGCATTGACCTCTCTTATGGTCTTTGAAGAACTTTTAATAAGATAAGTTATTTTTGTATCATTTTTATTTATCTATTACTTACAGGTCTACCTGATTATTAAAACTAAGAAAGTACTTTTTTAATAATACGATAAACATTCTTGCATAATTATCTTATTCTATTAACCTTTCAAATACATTATTTACAGTGATTAATTATCAAAGGTGAATGGAAAAGGGGAATAACTTTTCTCAGTAGAATACAAGTTAATAGAGCCCTGCCCAGGACCAGAATGCTTAGACGAATGGTCCAGATGTTTAAAAATCTGGTAGAAATACGCTTACTCATATCATTTAAACTTTTAATTTACTCAGTTTGCTTCCGATATGCCCAGAAGCAGAGAAGAATTTCACAGGTACAATGCATTTTCACTACAGATTCAACAAAGCCTTACCCTAACACCAGAACCCAAGACCAAGGGTCAAGAAATTTACAAATTTGGAAGAGTTACCCTCATCATCATAACTATGGACTTCAAAGAATTAAGTACACTTTTCCACTATATTATCAAAAGCCCCCCCCCCCCCCCTCGTTATGCCAGAACCCCTGACCCTATGGACCACAAGATTTAAAAATTCTGTTCGAAGCTGCCATTTTCATCATAGCTAAGCAATTTATTTATCAGCTCAACACTAAGGAGCAGACAGGATTAGTTAATGATTAATTAATAGAATTAATGCTTTTTCACTATATAATCAATAGAGCCCCCCCCCCCCCCCCCCCCCCCCCCCGTCCTCAAGAACCCCAAAAACTGAGGCCATATATTTAAAAATTTTGAAAGAGGCATCCTTGTCTATCATAATCATGCACTTAGTTTGTTTAAATAATCTCCAGTAGCAGAGAAGATTTTCAAAGAATCAATGCATTTTCACTATATAATCAATAGAGCCCCGCCCTAACACCAGAACCCCTGACCCTGGGGTCATGAAATTCACAATTTTTGAAAAGGCATCCTTATGCATCATAACCATGCACTTAGTTTGTTTAAATAGTCTCCAGTAGCAGAGAAGAAGATTTTCAAAGAATCAATGCATTTTCACTATATAATCAATAGAGCCCCGCCCTAACACCAGAACCCCTGACCCAGGGGCCATGGCTTTCACAATTCTGGAAGAGGCCTACCTCCTCATCATAACTATGTACTTAGTTTATCACCTTAATGCCCAGGAGCAGAGGAGAAGATTTTCAAAGAATTCATGCATTTTCACTATATAGTTGATAGAGCCCTGCCCTAACACCAGAACCCCTGACCCTGGGGCCATGAAATTCACAATTTTGGAAAAGGTACTCTTGCTCATCATAACTATGTACTTAGTTACTTTATTTAATACCCAGGAGCAAAGAAGAAGATTTTCAAAGAAATAATGCACTTTCACTCTATGATCTATATAGCCCCACCCTGGGGCCAGAACCCCTGACCCTGGGGCCATGAATTTCACAATTTTGGTAGAGGGCTCAATGCTTATTTCAATGATGCCAACAGTTTGACTGCTTGATGTTCAGGAGTAAAGAAGAAGATTTTTAAAGATTGCATTAATTTTGGTGGTTTTAGCCCCACCCCTCAGGCCCTGGGGGGGGCAGGGACCATGAAATTCAAAATTTTTGTTCCCCTTCACCCATAGATGCTATATACCAAATCTGGTTGAAATTGGTTGAGCGGTTCTCTAGAAGAAGTTAAAAATGTTCAAAAGTTAACGCACGACGGACGACGACGGACGAAAACAGATAGCAATAGGTCACCTGAGTGACTCAGGTGACCTAAAAAGACACCATTTTAAACTTATAACTTAAAAAAAGTAATTGAAATGTAATTGAAAAGTAATTGAAAATACATGACATTTTTGGAAATGTATTTAAATACATTCAATTACTTGTAATTGGAGACTGGCTCAAATACAAATTACTTCCAATTACTTTAAAAAATGTAATTAATTATGCTCAATTACAAATACTAATTACAATTATCCCATCCCTGTTCACCCATAGATACTATATGCAAAAATTGGTTGAAATTGGTTGAGCGGTTTCAGAGAAGAAGCTGAAAATGTTTAAATGTTAACGCACGACGGATGATGACGGACAAAAATGGATAGCAATAGGTCACCTGAGTGACTCAGGTGACCTAAAAATTGGCCCAGTGGCTCTGGAAATCAAAAGTAAAGTCTATGCTATTCACATCATTGGATACCCATGGATAATTTCGTCTTTAACTCATCACTCATAGGCAAACTTGCTGACATATCTTCATTAAATATGCAAATTTGTTGATAATAGACAACCAATCAGAAAGTTGGAACTTTTCAACTTTGAAAATTTGTTTTTTTAGTTTGCTATTTTCGCTTACGTGATGCCACCCAGAAAATGTGCAAATTTTGTTTTTAAAACAATAAATGACAAGTCGTACATGTCACTGGCATCAAATAACAATCAGGAACGATGTAGCTGTACCTTTCTCAAACTGCGATATGCAACAGTAAGTGGATTTGACATCGGTGTATTAACTACAGAAAATTTTTGGTGACAGCCGAACAAACATATGTAACGTAAACTGGGATTCATTGATTTGCCATCGCAACGCTGTGCACAACCAATCAAATGATTTACCCATATTAATAACATACAACGATATTTCGGCGAGTTTGCCCACAAGTTATGAGTAAAAGACAAGATCACCCTTGGATGTCTAACAATGTGCTATACATAGAGATAGATAAACAGAATAAATACACTAGACAACTGGACAAAACATCGAATCAGAAGAGTTTGATGTAAAAAACGTTAAATTTCTTTTGATAGAATAATTATTGCCTTACTGTTCTTGAAAGAAAGATTTTTTTTTTTTAAATGTTCTTTTTTGATCCTATCCCACCAAACCCTACTGGGGTTTACTTGAAAAAATTTTAAATCAATTTTTATGGAAGTTGATTTCCTGACCTCTCTCCACAATCAAACAACATGTCTACTCTGTCAATGATGTGTTGACCAGTGAGGACATCCAAAGTGACCTCTGTCAAGGTCACACCATATGAATTATACTGGAAAACATTTGGACTGTTCGGGACCTCCCTAAAAGATAAATAAATACAGCATTTCTATGAGGGTTGTTCGGAAAGTTCGTGGACTATGCCAATCTTAGTTATTCTATCTTCAAGAAATTTGAAATGAATTAACACATTATCATAATTATGTAAAAATATTATTTTGTTTAAGTGTGAAGTTTCATTCCTTGTGATTTAATAGAATTCATGTTATTCAACTTTAAAATCAACACATTTTGTAACCACAGAGCAAACTCAACAACACTGTAACATCAAAAACATGCCGACATGAGGTTCTCAAAAATACTATCCTTATACATTTCACACAGATTTGCCCAATACCAGTGCACTCATTAAAAACGTTTCTCTATTACTTGAAATCTATTTTGTTAACAATTGTTCCAGTAGCATCAATTTGTTTGTCAATGTTATATTTTTTTTCACTGTGTAAGTGTGCTTTCACAAGATCAGCATCTGTGAAGTGCCAAACTCTTAGCATGACGTTACTAATTTTTCAATGTTTTTGATAAGATTTTTTTCACTGCGTAAGTGTGCTTTCAAAAAACCAGCATCTGTGAAGTGCCAAACTCTTAGCATGACATTACTAATTTTTCAATGTTTTTGATAAGATTTTTACAGATTATCCATTTTCTCACAGATCACACGCTTGTACTATGTACACACAAATGCATGGCTTGCTTTTAACATATTTAAAAAATTTTTGATACACAAAATTTGAATTTACTATTGAAATAATTCTTCCAAATTTGGATATACTGTAATATGACATTAAGTTCAAAAGTTATGACAGTAGTCCACAAACTTTCCGAACAACCCTCGTTCATATACATGTAAAACTGTCGCCATAGCAGGCCCGTAGGAAGCAATTTCAGTTTGGGGAGTCACAGCCATACATTTTCAGTTGAGGGGGCACTATCAACTCCCAAATATTCCTTGACAAGCAAAAAAAAAAAAAAAAAAAAAAAAGGTCATCAGACGTTTTTATTGAGGGGGCACAAGCATACAGTAGCTATGTTTTCTATAGTAATTTAAATGTTGGCAAAATTATTGGGGGGGCACAGCCCCCCCCCCCCCCCCCCCCCCCAGTTCCTACGGCCATGCATAGTACAAACAAAGCTGATGATTTCTGTAAGTTGAGAAAGAGGCTTTAGTCTTGGGATGTGAATACTTTTCCAATTAAATTTTTCATCTAAAACCAAGTTAAAGTCAATTTCTTATTAACCAATGGAATAAAATGATCTTTCAGGATAAGAACCTAACAAACTGAATACCTCGTTGATATGAAATCTTACCAGTATCTTTCTGACAAATCCATGTTTTCACTAAAACACTGGAATATGACATCCTTCCAGGACTTGCCAGCCATTTTTTGTTTCACTGGAGCTATTCTCTTGTTCAAAGCATCACAGCATTGCAAAACTGCCTAAAATAAGTCAACAAAAAAAACACATGCCTTATATTTTCTCTGTGATGCACTTTGCCAGTGTTTTATGAGTGATATACTTTATGAAGGTCCAGGAGAAAGACCAGAAGTCTCTGACGAGACTGTAGCTCTACTGCTTGTACTTATAAAGGAAGATAAAAGTAGCACTGTAGGAGGAGTAGCATTTTGAAAGTATTTAACAGAAATTTCTATTTTTAGTAACCATGGCAACACCGTTCATTTAAATCAAAAGCCAATATACAGAATTATGTATCTTAGTGTAGTCTACTTATGTGCCAAGTTATGTTGATATCGGACCAAAACTGCAGGAGGAGTAGCGTTTTGAAAAATTGTTTACAGATGGACGGACAGACAGACAGATGGAGGGACGACAAACACCTTACTATTGCATAAGCTCTTCTGGTCTCTGACCAGTAGAGCTAAAGAACTAACAGTACACATTAACATACCTTACAACAGAGTTCACTGGTGATACTGCCACCTGTCGTAACACTGTTGGCTGTACTCAGGGAATCGGTGGGTTTAACTCTAATGATGTCCATGGGAATACCCAAGGTTGTGGCACACACCTGTATCACCTGGAATAATTCATTACGAATTACAGATAGATTTTCTGGTAATAAAACATCTTCTTGGAATTTAATTAGAATTAAAGGTGTCAAGCTTGTATATATGTCTTTCATTTTATTCATATTAATTTTTTTTCCCCCATTTCATAAATAAAAATAATTTGCACATCATTTTGAAGTTGCAATTTTAATTATATTGATCATCATCCAATCATAATTGAGTAAGGACACTAATCCACTTTCAGTATGTGACTTAACTTTACCATATGACAGTTTCAGAATGATTGTGGGCAATTTACCTTTGCCCTATGACCCTATAAGTATGGTTGTGTGTAACTTAGCTTCACTCTATGACACTATCAGTATGGTTGTGGGTAATTTACCTTTGCCCTATGACCCTATAAGTATGGTTGTGTGTAACTTAACTTCACTCTATGACACTATCAGTATGATTGTGGGCAATTTACCTTTGCCCTCCTATAAGTATGGTTGTGGGTAACTTATCTTTACTCTATGACACTATCAGTATTGGTGTGGATACCTTAACTTTACCATATGACACTGTCAGTATTGGTGTGGATACCTTAACTTTACCATATGACACTGTCAGTTTGGTTGTGGGCAATTTACCTTTGCCCTATGACACTATCAGAATGGTTGTGGGTAACTTAATTTTATGACACGGTCAGTATATATGGTTGTGGGTAACTTAACTTTACTCTATGACACTATCAGTATGGTTGTGGGGAATATAGGAACATATATTAATCTGAGTTAACTCTGAAGTGCTGATCGGCCTGAAGAAAAAAATCTTATAAGTACAAGTTAAATAACCATCCTTGTGATCTCTCCATTTTCTCACCTTGGTGTTGATGCCCTGACCAGACTCTATTCCTCCATGAGAGATGGACACACTGCCGTCATAGCCATGGATAGCCACTAGAGCTGTGTAGTTACCTCCTGTCCAGTCTATACCAAACTTCATAGGGACCACGGATAAACCCTTCTTCTTCCAACGATTAGCCTGAATATAATTTATATAACTAATAATAACACATTGATATTATACGTATTGCATTAAACTTAATTAACACTATATTCTATATGACATGAAACTAGAAGAAAACAAGAGGCTCATGGGCCACAACGCTCACCTGAGTAACTTTGGCCTTGCTGTTTTTCACCTGATTTCTTCCCCCCCCCCTTGTAGTACTTTTTGTGGCCCCACCCTCCCCCAGGGGTCATGATTTGAATAATTAAAATCTACACTACCCCAGGATGCTTCCACATAAGTTTCAGCTTTTCTAGCCCACTGGTTCTTGAGAAGATTTTTAAAGATTTTTGCTACATATTTCAATGTAAAACTTGGATTCCCTATTGTGGCCCCGCATTACCCCCGGGGGTCATGATTTGAACAATTTAGAATCTACACTACCCTAGGATGCTTCCACATAAGTTTCAGCCTTTCTAGCCCACTGGTTCTTGAGAAAAAGATTTTTAAAGATTTTTACTACATATTTTAATGTAAAACTTGGATTCCCTATTGTGGCCACGCCCTACCCCCGGGGGTCATGATTTGAACAATTTAGAATCTACACTACCCAAGGATGCTTCCACCTAAGTTTCAGCGTTTTTAGCCCACTGGTTCTTGAGAAGAAGATTTTTTAATGACCCCACCCAATTTTTGTATTTTATTGAATATCTCCCCTTTGAAGGAGACTTGGCCCTTCATTTTAACAATTTAAACTCCCCTTCACCCAAGGATGCTTTGTACCAAGTTTGGTTAAAATTGGCCCAGTGGTTCTTGAGAAGAAGTTGAAGATGTGAAAAGTTTACAGACGAACGGACAGACAGACGGACGGACGTCGGACAACGGGTGATCAGAAAAGCTCACTTGAGCTTTCAGCTCAGGTGAACTAAAAAGCTGTTAATGTCTTACAGTCCAACCTCATTAATCTGGATGTTTTTGTTCTGAAGTGAATTGTTCAGATTAATGAGATGTCCAGACTACTGAAGATTATTTTTGTAACTGGAAGATAAAGAGTGAATTCTGTTCTCCAGAAGTTACGTCCAGAGGTAAAGCACGTGCATAATTGGTGTCTGGATTACCAGCACTTGACTATACATGTATCTGCATATTACCTGCTTGATTTTAGAAAAAAAAAATTGCTGACCTGGTTATAACTTGAGACCTGCTGTTGTCGGGTTACATAATCAGCAGATGACAGCAGTTGACTGGTCAACTCTCTGATGTTACAGTAAGTGAGGGGCATTTTTGCTGGAGTGACCTTCAATTAAATTTTATAAGTGAAATAAGATATTTTAAGTTATTCGTCTTTTATCTGTTTAATTCTATTATGAAGAATTTTTCAAAATGTACCCAAGTTTATTATATGTGGTGTTTTATCAAATGTTTTTTTTTTTACTTAATTGAATATACCACTGTAAATATACTGTAAGTTATTCAAACAACTACTTGAAAGTTATGCAAATGGAATATGATACATCCTTTGTGTCCACATATCAGACACATGTTGCACAGAATATCAACAGATTTACTTCCAGGCTCCAGGAAACATTAATAACAAAAGTCAGTGTTTCATGTCAACTCTTATCCAGTCGTAAAACATAAATAATACGAGACACAACTAAATAAGAATGAGGAGGAGATGAGGGTTAATACCTGACCCTTCTTATACAGGTTTTGTCTCCTGAAATCAGTTGGATCTTTGTCCAGCATTTTTGCACAATGCTCCATGATGGACTCCATGATAAAGATTGTGGGACAAGAGCCTAGAAAGGAAAAAATGAACTGATACATAATTACTTGGTGTTGGCTGTATGAATACATAATTACCTGATGTTGGCTCATCTTTGCTAGCCAAGTCTCTAATTCGTTTCGAATCAGACACTCAGCTAGCAAAAATTGATTTGGTTGTACTCACACAAAATTACCTGGTGTTGGCTGTATTAATGTATAATTACCTGGTGTTACCAGGTAACACCATGTATAATTACCTGGTGTTACCTGCCTGTATTGATACATAATTACTTGTCATTGGCTGTACTGATATATAATTACTTGTCATTGGCTGTACTGATATATAATTACTTGTCATTGGCTGTACTGATACATAATTACTTGTCATTGGCTGTACTAATACATAATTACTTGTCATTGGCTGTACTAATACATAATTACTTGTCATTGGCTGTACTGATACATAATTACTTGTCATTGGCTGTACTAATACATAATTACTTGTCATTGGCTGTTCTAATACATAATTACTTGTCATTGGCTGTACTAATACATAATTACTTGTCATTGGCTGTACTGATACATAATTACTTGTCATTGGCCGTACTGATACATAATTAATTGTATTTAAACATAATAACTTGGTGATGGCTGCACTGATACTTAGTTTCCTTGTGATGCATGTGATGTGTATTTTCTGAATTATTTAGGTGGCTGTAATCTAGTAGTTACCTAGTGATCTATATACTGTGTTGATACCCTTTTCCTTTTTATTACCTCGAGACCTACATGCTATGTTGATACCTGTATTCTTTAGAATTACCCAGTGACCTACATGCTGTGTTGATACCTGTATTCTTTACAATTACCCAGTGATGTACATGCTGTGTTGAAACCTGTATTCTTTAGAATTACCCAGTGATGTACATGCTGTGTTGAAACCTGTATTCTTTATAATTACTCATTGACCTACATGCTGTGTTGAAACCTGTATTCCTTATAATTACTCATTGACCTACATGCTGTGTTGAAACCTGTATTCTTTACAATTACCCAGTGATCTACATGCTGTGTTGATACCTGTATTCTTTACAGTTACTCAGTGACCTACATGCTGTGTTGATACCTGTATTCTTTAGAATTACCCAGTGACCTACATGTTGTGTTGATACCTGTATTCTTTAGAATTACCTAGTGGTCTACATGCTGTGTTGATACCTGTATTCTTTAGAATTACCCAGTGATCTACATGCTGTGTTGAAACCTGTATTCTTTAGAATTACTCATTGACCTACATGCTGTGTTGAAACCTGTATTCTTTACAATTACCCAGTGATCTACATGCTGTGTTGATAACTGTATTCTTTACAATTACCCAGTGATTTACATGCTGTGTTGATACCTGTATTCTTTACAATTACCCAGTGATCTACATGCTGTGTTGATACCTGTATTCTTTACAGAGTTACTCAGTGACCTACATGCTGTGTTGATACCTGTATTCTTTAGAATTACCCAGTGATCTACATTCTGTGTTGATACCTGTATTTTTTACAGTTACTCAGTGACCTACATGCTGTGTTGATACCTGTATTCTTTAGAATTACCCAGTGACCTACATGTTGTGTTGATACCTGTATTCTTTAGAATTACCCAGTGACCTACATGCTGTGTTGATACCTGTATTCTTTAGAATTACCCAGTGGTCTACATGTTGTGTTGATACCTGTATTCTTTAGAATTACCCAGTGACCTACATGCTGTGTTGATACCTGTATTCTATACAATTACCCAGTGATCTACATGCTGTGTTGATACCTGTATTCTTTACAATTACCCAGTGATCTACATGCTGTGTTGATACCTGTATTCTTTACAGTTACTCAGTGACCTACATGCTGTGTTGATACCTGTATTCTTTACAATTACCCAGTGACCTACATGCTGTGTTGATACCTGTATTCCTTACAATTACCCAGTGGTCTACATGCTATGTTAATACCTGTATTCTTTAGAATTACCCAGTGACCTACATGCTATGTTGATACCTGTATTCTTTAGAATTACCCAGTGATCTACATGCTGTGTTGATACCTGTATAATTTAGAATTACCCAGTAACCTACATGCTGTGTTGATACATGTATTCTTTAGGATTACCTGGAGATCTACATGAAGTGTTACAGGCTGTGTTGGTCTTCAGAGCTACTGGTATCAAATGCCAATTTGGACAATAGTACCCTGAAAATAAAGATTATTTTACAGTGAGTGTTCTGATAGCTTGTCTTCACTTTTTAATCCCTAAGAACTGAAGTCTTTGTCATATACAAAAATAATAAATAAAACTTGCTTCTGTAACTTAAATTCATAAATAAATATGAAACATAAAAACCAAACTAGAAATATGTCCATAGGACATGAATGCCACTCCCAGGGTTGATTTATAAATCCGTGGATGATAGAGCATCATGTAAAAGTGTCTTCATACTATAGGTGTAATGTTATAATATATTTTTTTTCTTTTTTCTGTTGTCTGTCATTTGATTTGTTATTTTGACTGTATACCAACATAGTGTTGTCAATAAATTGAATTGAATTGAATTATAACAAAACATGAAAATTTGTTTCAATATATGAAATTTGATGAAAAAAATCTTGAATAGTTTCTTTAAAACTGAGTTTTATACACAATAAATAGTAAAGTCTAATGTCACTGGGAAGGTCAAGGTAAAAAAAATGATGTAGTTCAATAGCACTCGCTAAAACGAATTGCATAAATAAGTTGAAGGTACATTATCAGCTGTTATAGATTTATTATTTGTTCCTGCTTTTAGTCGCATTTGGTGTTATAGCTGTTTGAGCACAGTGTCTGTTTTTAATATTTATCCCATATGAAATATAAAACACAAAGAAAGAATGAATAAATAATCTCATACTGACCATTGTCCATCCCTAAGACCATCCCTGCCAAGCTATTATCTATTGGATTTATTCCACAGTCTGTGTAATATGTTATTTTAACACCCTCTAGCATGCCATCAGATGATAGGCCAATCTGCCAAAGGTACAAAACAAACAGAGTACATCTTCAATCTTCTTAAAATTTTTCACAAAATTTCTTTGAAAGGAAAGATAAGCAACGATTTCTTTTGCTGCCATATCAAAATAGAAGCCTGTTTATTTCATGTTCTGAGGGATGGTACACCTTAGGGTCAGTAGCTTTATTCTGAAAGTGTGAATGCCTGCAATCTCTGTGATTTATGGACATGATTTTTTTACCCTTTTGTTCTCTCTGACTCACAATGAGACATCTTCAGATAAAACTGTGGAATTACCATTTTTTGTGGGGGCTAATGTTTGTTGTTTTTGTGGATCTCTCTTATCCAAAAAATTACACCCCGGGATGAAAATATGTCCCCACAAATCAGTTAAATTTGACTTGCCCATAAACACTGATGCCCCATGAAATAAAATGAGCCACAGTTGCAAAGTACAAGTTTATAATGTTTCCCCATTAAAAAGCCCCAAAACAAAGTGGGAAAGGCACAACAATTGTCTACACATGGATATAAATATACTTAAACAAGCAGTTATATCATTAAAATATATATGTACAGGGTTCTCCATGAGCTGTTTTACTGTGTCGGCCCCGACACAGTAAAATTTTCCACAACACTGTAATGATTCGTATTTTATGTGTGCGACACAGTAAAATTCTGCGGCACAGTAAGATCTGTGGTAATCAGAAAATCAGACCATAAAAGCTCTCTAACTGAAACTTTAATCAAACAAATCTACCGTCTTTCAATTTTTAAGGCAGAGCTTTTAATTATCTCTAAATTACACACCTTATCTTGATTCACCTTGCATAATCAATTATCTCCTAGACCCTCGCTGGTCTTTACGCATGAAGGAACAAAGACAAATAATTTGTTTTCACACTTTCATGTAGCTGAATAATTGCTAGTTGCATTTTTAAATATTATTCAAAAATTAAAAATTTATTAAAATATGTTTCTTGATACTTCAGAACCATGTCTCTAGAATTATGTTGGCACTATGAGTCAAACATTGTACCATAATCATTTAAATGATGTAAATGTATTGTTGATGGCACCTACTAAAAATATTTTTAATTACTATTCTAAAGTATATAATATATTGTTTTTTTTTAAATCATACTTATTTTTCTGAAGTGTGTGTTGGGGGAAGGGGGTAGGAGAGATTTACAGTTAGTTTGTCCTATAGTACATTGCATTTACATTATTATATGGAAACATTCTAATTGTTTTAAATATCCATTAATTTATTTTTTATTAACATGTACAATCATACCATTTGTGTTATGAATTAGTGATTCAAAAAAGTTGTGTGTGTTTGTATGCTTTGAATAATTATAATGAATAGTGGTTCAGTTGCGAATTTGATTGCGAAAATACTGCGAATATTAGTGGTTCACGTAAAGTCTGCAACACAGTAAAATTTCAAATGATGGAGAACCCTGTTGCATGTGTGTTTATAGTATTTTTTTTATATACAGTTATACCATTACAATACATATCTATAGAGACAAAGCATCATACCGTGTAATCAGCCATCCAAGGAAACCTTTTACCCACCATCTTCATGTTAACATGGAAATCCAGAGACAGGCGCACAGGTCTGTCATTAAAAAAATGTATGTAGATCTGATCTAAAAAAAATTATATCCACTTACGGCAGGCATTCATTTTCCTAGAAAAATTTCTGACCTTTTAATAGCATTGGAAGCAAGGGCACATCCAGCAGCCACAATAAAGTTACGGGAAATCTTGCTTCCGTAAGCCCCTCCCAATCGACGAACGCTTACACTAATGCTGTAACAAAGCGTAACACTGAATCAAGCTTACAGGATAAAGAGTCACAACTTTACTATACTACTAGAACATTGTTTGCAATAATTATACCAATAATGATGCAGATACTGAGTAATCAACAATCAATTGGAAAATTAGCAAGCATTAACACTGTATGTCAAATATAATCACAATATGACTGCTGGGAATATTTTCAAAAGTTTGAACATTTTTTAAAGGTGCAGTTTGAAGATAAAATGTGCAAATAGTAATATTCAATCAGATTACAATGTGTGTACTACAAACAGAGTTACTTCCCTTACCTACTGTCAGGTATCCCTAACACCATGGCAATACTTTTCTGACATCTATCTACCCATTGTGTGGAGGAATAAACATCAAATCCATCTTCTGTGGGGTTACAGATGGTTATCTGTTGGACACAATAGTAATCAGCCATTTGTCATACATGTACCAACACACCAGTAATTTTAACTTAATTTTATTAACAAGACAACCAAGCAGTAGTACATGTACTATACATTTTTATTGTAATTACAGGCGTACTTCATTATCTTGAACTCAAATGGACTAAGAAAAAACTTCAAGGCATCCGATGATTCAAGATATTGAGGTTAACATAAAGAAAAGGGGTTGGGACTTTCAACTTATTTTGACATATCCAAGGCATTTGAGACACCAAAGTCTGAGATAAAGTTCAACTGTATATTGACATACTCTGTGTCAAGAACTGATGGCAAAAAACAACAACAAAAATGTCAGCAACATTTGAACAGTGCAAAGATCAAAGAGACAGCTCTGTGTTTTCCATGAAAAATATATCCTTCTGTTCTTATTTTTGATGAGGTTTTAAAATTTTGATATGCATGAAATTAACACAAATGCCAATAAATAATCCTGATATAGCCTTGAAATAAAGCTGTCTAAGACACCAAATATAAACCATCTAGGCATAGTAGTAGTACTGAAATCTCACCTGAGTTTCCATGGCCATGTGATACTGAGTCCCACACTTAATTCTACCTGTCACTTTGACAGCTGATTTTGCAATAGCACCTGTTACAAATATTATATTACAAGATATTAGGAAATATGCAATAATGATAGGTAAGAAACATATATGGTTCGAATTACAACTCTAAATGTTACTGTAAATGCAATCATTAAAGTATAATGCAGTCAAACTTCATTTCCTCTATCTAAATAGGACTGAGAAATAATTTTCAGATATCTGAAGAATTGCAATATTAAAGTTAAAATACATAAAAGGCAGTTGGAACTTCCAAATGACTCCGACATATCCATGGTATTTGAGATATGTAATTTTGATATAGCGAAGTTTAATTGTATTAGTTTAAATAAACAGCCAAAATCAGCAAACCTTCAGCATCTCCTACTTTAATTTCATCTGCCACCTTGGGAAATATTGACTTCTTGTCAATAGCATCTTCCATAGTTAGGATGGGAGGCTGGATATTTGTGTAGGTGACCTTGACCTTGTCGACAGCAGAATCAACAGCATTCTGGCTTTCTAAATATATATATGTTAAAATAACTGTGTATTTCATGAATTAACATAAAAGTAGTAATGTGTATATCACTATAATGCATGCCTGTTACATTCAAACTCTATATAGTAGCAATACAGTAGCATTCATTATGGTACAAAAACAAATCCAGTATGTTTAGAATGTTTTGCATACCTTACATATAAATTTCCAACCAAAACATACCGGTACATGTACATGAAACTTTGATGATAATGGTCTAGCCTCTATAATAATCCCTCTCCCTTTCTCTAACTATTCTATCTTTCATAACATGTATTCCCCTCTGTTTGAGGTTAAATTCAACTACAAACCTGCAACAAGGATTCCAATTGGCTGACTGTAATACTCGACTCTGTCACTAACCAAGACCTGCCAGAAAAAAGGATATGTTAAATGCCCCCTAAATTTTCAGTATATGATGTTTACATTCAAATAAATTATAGTCAGAATTGGCCACCCTGTTAATTAAGATACCTCCTCAGTGGGGAATGGGGGTGGGGACACATTGTTGATTCCAGGGATGTCTTTAGCTGCAATAAACTTCAGGACTCCTGGCATTGCCTAAAACAGGTGTATATACTATAATTATTTTATCTTAAAGTACAGGATCCTATAGTTTCTATAACACTGTTTATAGTCTGAGCCTAACTTGTATCATCTTTAATAATATCACTGTGATGTCTTCAGTACATATGGGAGAATCTGTAATTATTAAATACATGTATAATAAGTTTAATGTTTTCTGTACCAGGGCCTCAGATGGATCAATGTTCTGTATTTTGGCGCTGGCTTCAGTGCTGAGAACAAATGCTGCGAAGCACTCACCGGGCTGTCCAGCTATGTCGTTGATGTAAACAGCTCGGCCAGAGGCCTGATAAAATGTCAGTATTAGATATGTGTGACAATAAATTAATCATTGAGTTCTAGTATAGGGAAAGAAAACTGTTAGCCATGTTTTAATTTTGAGAGGTTTTTATTACAAGATTTGCACTGAACTCATTATAATATATGTATAATGCTTTACATAAATTTACTTTTTTTTAAGTACAACAAAAGTACACAACTTTTTTACAACAAAAGAATGTTCAAGTAAGTCAACTCATAAGTATCATGTATTCAGCAAAGTTGACAAAAGCTATGGCCTTCAATTCCATAAAAATAGTAAGCATGATGAGCATTTCCATGAATTTTCATGAAGATCTAATATCAATTTAAGAAAATGTTGACTACTATCTCTGTGACAAACAGATAAATATGCCTTCATAGAGGATTCATGAAAGTACAGTACCAAGTGTAAAATAGTTAATGCAGTATTAAAACCTGATTGACTGCCTCCACTTTGGTCATTGGTTCAGTAAGTGGCCATTCCAGAGGCTTGGTATCATAGGTTTGTCTCCCTGAGGACAGAGGCCTAGTCAGGGGAGTGGATCCACTCCTGAATTGAGAGCTGGCTCTGTTTCCAAGGACATCTAACACAAACTGTCAGTAAATAAAGGAAACTGTCAATAAATAACACAAACTGTCAGTAAATAAAATAAACTGAAAATAAATAACACAGACTGTCAGTAAATAACACAAACTATGAATAAATAACATACACTGTAGGAAAAGATCACAAACTTTCAACAAATAACACAGACTGTCAGTAAATAACACAAACTTTCAACATTGTGTCCATTAGATAAATCAACAAATACTTACTCTGTAAAACAGAGCCATGGCCACATTTTTCCTGAAGTCTGCTGATGTAAGATTTTGGTCACTGTCATCTGGAATCAACTCCTGAGACAACATTGTCAAAGCTCCTACTCAAAGAAGTGACCATACTTACTATGTTCAGAACTGATTATTTCATTAAAAGACATTATCAAACTCAGCTAATTTCTGAAAAATTAGGATCTCCACAATCTCTCTCCATTCAGATAACTACAGTTGTTTTAACAGATTTTACACCTGTAACCAGGTAATAGTACACTTAAAATACAGCGATGTTTGAAAATTTTATGATAACAAATTTACCCACCCACCCCCATCTGCACCACTGGGGGCATAGGAGTACACAACTGTTAGCGGCTCAGACTCCCAGTAACATGTTGATTTCATTTTGATTTCATTTTGAAGTCAACAATATTTACCTTTGAGTGTATTTTGATCACCAAGAGCTTTTCCAACCAAATATTCTTCAGTCTTTGTAGCATGTACCTTTAACATAGATAAATATTTATATAACAATTAGTGTTACACGTTATTTTCAACAGTGAAATATACCATAATTTATTACATTTTCAGAAGTGAATTATACTATAATTTATTACATTTTCCACAGTGAAATACTGTAAATTATCCACTGAATAAAAGTGATATTTATGAAAGTGATGTCAATATTGAAATTTGTAAGTGATAATTATAATGTGAAAAAAATATCAAAGATGCAGCAAAATGCTTGGGTTTTTTTCATTACCTTCAGGAAGGATGTTTTAAAGACAATATTCCCTGTTATAAGATAGCAGAGTAAATAAACCATCCTGACACAATCTAAAACTGCCAAAATTTCTCCAAATTGCTTTTTAATATCCATATTTACAATTTTCAATCTCAAAATTACAACCGACTAAGCGAAGTTTAAAGTGTAATCAATAGACTGAACTATGAGTGTACTGAGTTTTAAGTAATGTTAAACTACAAGACACTGAGTTATAAATAAGGCCATACTAATTTATCAGCATAATGTCATAGTGCAAAGTTTACCAAGTAATAGCATCACATTTATAAGTACAAGGATGCTTAAAAAAGCTTAAATAAAAAAGCCTCTGGCTGTAATTCAAATGAATCTGAATTATACTTTTGTTTTTATTGCAATAGATATCAGTATGCTCAGTAATAAGCTGCAAACTTTATGCATTTTTCTCTGGAGTTATATTCACATTAAAATATGATATTCATAAAACTTCACTTGTAATTTTAAGCAATCTTCCTAACATACATGTAGGACTGTAAGAAGTATGTAAATAAAATATTATTAGTTACACAGTTAGTTTGGGACCTAATATGGAGTCATCCAGCTTCCACTACATCTCACGTACACTGTAATTAAGATTTCCATTTCACACCCAGGCTGACTCAGTATTATGTCCCAAACTGACATGTAATGAATTTCCACTGAAGAACGTTACAAGATTTGATTAGAGTTCAGTGGCTGATTAAATAAAATATAATTCAAATTAAGACTCAAGTAGAACAGAATCTGGCACCTGATGCTTAATACACCCCCTGCTTGGAGATTGTGTATTAGAAAATTTCAGGATGTCATTTTATCTGTTTTAAGCCGATCAGTTTTCTTCAAATTTGTCTGAAGAGGGGTAATTTAACTTACAAAGTTTTTGCTGATTCCACCAAATACAATGGTTGGTTTACTTTTAATCAGAAAGTTCTGGGTTGCATCAACACCAAAGTTCATCCCAGCATTTACATCAGAATGGGCACTCTATCAAAACAATAAATCATACATTCTGTGTTTCTATTAGTGTATACAAGAATACCACCTTAAACCATGCAATAACATCCTAATATAAGAAATTAATACTTTCTTTAACATTTGTAAGAAATTAATATGCAAGTTTTATCTCAATACAAACAAATGTTGAGTATTAAAGGGTGCTAACTCTGACCTGTGTGCGTTTGTTGTGAATTAAAAGGTGCTAACTCTGACCTGTGTGCATTTGTTATGAATTAAAGGGTGCTAACTCTGACCTGTGTGCGTTTGTTGAGTATTAAAGGGTGCTAACTCTGACCTGTGTGCGTTTGTTGTGAATTAAAGGGTGCTAACTCTGACCTGTGTGCGTTTGTTGTGAATTAAAGGGTGCTAACTCTGACCTGTGTGCGTTTGTTGACTTTGTAGATCCTTATGTGGTGATTGTCTGGGACTGAATTTAAGAACATGGCCACTATAACACAGTCTGTCATGTCCTGACTCAAGAACTCAGAGATTGGAATAACCTTTGTCTCACCATTCACAACTAATATTAGGAAAATATAACATCTGTAATACACTATGCTGTCAAAGCAAGGATTTCAAGCAAACTGGAATAAGCAATATAGAACAATGTAAATCATTTAATCAATCTGAAAAAAAATAACCTTAAATAACATTTGTAAACAAAATAGTTTTTTTTTCTGTCTAGTTTTTCGGTTTTATGATTTAATCAAACACTATGCTCGTGTAATAATTTGCATAAATGCCAAAAGCATTTATGCATAAAAATATCACATGTGAAAACTATTTCATCATCATCATAAAACCAAAAAACAGATAGTTATTCCTTATATTTACATTTCACCTTCTCCTTGATTAAACAAAAAAATTAGATATTTCAGTTATCTTCATTTAATAATTAGAAATCTAAGTCTGCAAGCCCTGCCCATGTATTATTGAGCCACACACAAAACAAGAGGGCATTTCTGTCACAAACTGAGCAAAATGCTGGAAGAAGATTTAAAGCTATTTCCTTATTTTTTGTTTTATCTCAGGCAAAGACATTTGTAAATATAAACATATATGTACATACATGTATATTTGACTTGCAATGTCCTTTATAGTAAAGATTGAAGTATTTTTTCTATGAGCTTGACATAGACCAAATATGAAGTCTCTTATCCCATTCAAAATTACATCCAGGTTAACACCAACTCTAACAAAATTATACAAGAGAGACCAATAACTCTCTCTCTCTAGGGACTTTGAAAGGGGGATAAAAATGATTTATGGAAAGGAGAAAAATAGATAAGTTACCAATATTCAGCTGGGCTCTAACAACTTCTAGCATGGTGTATATATCTGACTGAAATTCTGGATGTTTGTGTTTCAACATCAGGTTTCCTGCCCAAGTTCCAAGCTGATTAAAATGAAAAGATTATGAATTTCTAATCCTAACAGAGATATTATATCTCAAGTTTGAATAAGTCTGCAGAAATAAGCTAATTGTACATATGTGAGAATCAGACTGTAAACCAATTATTATTCACAAAAACTTTTATGCATGATTTGTCAGTTTGAAATCTATCCATGACGACAAATTTTCGTGACTGAGGAATTTTACTACATACACAAACAAAAAAAATAGAAAGTTCACAGCAAGAAAAATCCATGAGTAAAAGAAGGTCACAAAACTCAGGATATTTCTCGCATGTGAATAAAAGTTGGTGTACAGTATGTTACATGCATGATAGAAAAATTTGTACAGTGCATACATGAACTTACATTTCTGACAGATGCGGTGGCTACTTTTGAAATAATCTTACACATTTCTTTGAAATATCCAAACTTTGGTTCATTTGATCCTCGATTCAATACATCATACAGCTGACTCAGGGACAAGCTGGACCCCAGGACTATCGTAGGATCAAACTAAAATAAACAATGAACAGCAATGGCTGACTTCTGGTCCTCTAGTCTTTTCATGTCTAGTATTTTTAACAAGATTTACACAATTCTTATTCTACTAATATACATGTATTATCAAAAATGATTTTAAATGATCAAAATTTCCTTTACACTTACATCAATTCCATACAACTCAGTCACCCCTCTGAGGTCAATAAGTATGTCATAATTCTTTGGATCTAATTCTTTGTACACTCCTATTTCAAAATAAAAAAAAAAGTGCAAAAAGAAATTCAAAAGTAAATATTTTGAGCAAACATTTATTGATGTTCACATGCAATTACGACATTATGCAGGTACATTACAGTGAGCAGTGGCAAGGATTAATCAAAATAATGGCAGAACAAAACATATCTCTAAGGAACTCCATGTCTTCATCTAAATGACCTTATATCTGGGTCAATACTCATCCAAAGGTCATGGAAACCTTCGAGTTAATATCTGACTTACAAAGTTATGGCAAGGACAAGATTTTAAAATTTTTAATCCCTGCAATCTTGACCTCATGACCTTGGTTAAGGGTTTCACACTTTCAGGTAAAAAGCATTCTTTGTGTCAAGTATAAGCCTGTACAATTTCTGTATAACAATGCTATGGCCTGGAAGAATTTAACACTTTTATTCCTGTGACCTTGTTCAAATGACATTGACTTAAGTTCATGACACACCTCAGCTTAGAAGTACAATCATTGTGTCAAGTGGAAGCTTTTACAATCCCTGCCTCAGAAAGACAAGCAAGAACAAAAACAAGGACATATTCTGCACTTTGAGACTATGTGACCTTGATCTTCATTCTTGTCCAGATAACCTTTGCTTGGGATCAAAATACACCCTTAGTCAAAGGCAACCTTTGTGCAAAATATGATCTTTTATAAATATTACTCTATTGAAAAGATAGAGCCCAGACACCAAGGTCGAGATTCAGAAATTAGACAAACAGACAGACATGATGAAATCTCAGTGCCTGCTTTTGTATGGGGCCTATTTTTATATTACCGTATCCTGTGTTTCCAAACACCAGTCTGTAGTTTTTGCCTTTGTTGTCCTTTATCATTTTGATGAGATCCTCTACCGTAGTTGGTTTGAACCACTGGACATCTTTTAAGGCTAGCTGTGAGCTCTGTTTGTGACAACTTCCTGTACAGATCTGACCAGTCCGATCACAGCGCTTGGTGTGTACATCCTGTTATTTTGCCAGATCAATTTTGTATGTAAATTCAATAAAACTTCATACATTCAGTTGAGGATTACTAGCACTAATGTTTTGAAATGACATTCTAATGGAAAAATTACACTTGGAATCATAATATTGACATTCTGATTTAAGTTGAAGTTAAAAAAAATGTGAACCAAGTTTGTTTCAGGAAAAATAAAAAGCCAAAATGTGCAGGTCTTTGCAAATTAAGTTCACACTTATTCTGCCTGTCATGGATTATACGCGCTTTTATATAACATTAACTCTATTGTGATGTCATAATACTGTAGTACGTTACGTTTCTATAGATAATAGCAAGTCTCTAAATATACCATAATACGATCAAGACCATTATACGATCAAGACGTGTTTTTATACTTTCCTATACATTCCACAACACTGCCAGTTACCTTGAACTTGCCCAAGTAACCTTGATCAAGGCCATAGCTACCCCTCACAAGCAACCTGTTGCTTTGAGCTTTCAATTGCAAAATTATGGACCAGAAATGAATGATTTTTTTAACAGTGACCCTGAAATTGTCTAAATCCAATACCTCTATATCAGATACATGTTGAGAATTCTCCTCTGCAAATGACTTCATTGCATCCAAAATAGACCTGAAACCTGAAAAATTGAAGAACAATAAATTCTGAAGTTCACAACTTTATATTCAGTGAGACATATCATCTAATTTCATTTTTTTCAGTTTGCAGTTTATGATAAAATATAATGAATGTGAAGATAAATCTAACATTTAAATATTTCTTACCAGTACATCTACATATCACAGAATCTGAGGCATCTTCCACCATTTGCTTTGTAACTGTTCCACCATGGTAATCAAGAAGGCTAAAAGTAATAAAATGTTCACTAATCACAATAAACAATGTCACTGACAATGTCAGTCCCATATTCAACTGAAATAAGTACAATGTAGAGACAAATTACAAAATAAATAAACATATGCAAACATGAAGCGAAAAAATAAAGTACGTAAATAATGGATCTAACCAGGAGAGCTAACTCTCAATAATGTTTTTTTTTTTTAATTTATACAGTTTTTTCAATATTATTGTATTTTTTGTATTAATAAAGTGCCCCGCCACAGCATGATACGCCCGTCAAATATTGTTCAATTATCACAAACAGTTCAGAGTGCAAGAAAATCAAGTCAACCTTGATACAAGGATTTCCAAGATTTTTCCATTCCTTATAATATTTGTTTATACATTTCCTATGGTGTAGGCATGAATTATAACAAATATAACATTATCAATCCTCAACTGGTTGTGTTAGAGCTTGACAAATACCCATCTGCAACCCCCCCCCCCCCCCCCCCCACACACACACACAGTGACAGTGACACACACACAATCTTTCATATTTGTGAGACATGATGCTCTGAAATTTGTTCGTCAATATTTTCAAAAAATAAAATAAAAATATCAATTAAACAATATCAATTTAGTCTTAACTTAATCTATACCAAATTAATTTTAAAATAAAAGACTGGCCATCAAATGACATATGCTATAAACTGACCAGCAGTTCTTCTGTCTAATTCCCAAAGGATACAGATAAGAGCTTGATCAGAGATCCTCTAACAGAAATGATTGAGACAGCTAGCCTTCCTACACTGAACTCATTAATTATTCTTTAACTGGATGCATGTCCACTCATTACTCCCAAGGGATGAATGGATCTGCGCTATCTGCTTTGTAGTGCATTTAAAATGAATATTTATGTCATTCTGAAATTAAATTTGAATACAAAGATTTTTTTTTCAATTTGTTACAAAGATTTATAAAAAGAAAAAAAAATTGTAATCTTGATGCAACATTTTTAATAAGGTTTCTGCTAGACTCTTAGATTTGTAGGGACTATCTACCATAATTTATTTTTTTTTAAATACTTTCTTTTTTTTTCTTCTTTAGATTCAATGTCAGACTGGTTTTAAGCTGCAATTCATATGGACAACGGGCATGCTAATTCCAATACCAACCCCCCCCCCCCCCCCCCCCAGTATAATTAGGTTTAATTAATTAGTTTATTATACAATATCAAACTAGTTTATTATACAATATCAAATTAGTTCTAATTACTTTTCACCAAATTCATTTTAAAAGTTAGGCTAGCCCACAAAAACTATTTAATCCAACATGGCTGATTCCTCTGCCCAATTCCCAAGAGACATAGATAACATCTGCTTGATCAGAGATGCTCTACCAGTTAGCTCCTCACACTAAACTCATTAATTTCTCTCTAATTTGACATGCAATTTTCTGTTATCAAAATTCTCCTTGACCAGTGCTTGATAATTACACCCATGGGAGAGGTGGAATTTCTCTTGTAACATTATATTTCTTATAGATTGCTGTAAAGTATATAATGAAAAAAATAAGTATTTTCTTGATTTTAACATTTTTTGATAAGGATACTGCAACACTTTTACATTTTTTGGGATTGTGTAATTTAATTTTAAATTGTGTTTTTTTAAAATTTCACTTAAATTAAAGGTCACAGTGACCTTGAAATAGGTCGCGACACACCTTCTACCTAAGAGGCATAAATTGGCCAAGTTTGATGATTCTAAGTCTAATAGTTTTCTAGTTATCAGCCGGACAGAATTTTTCCATATTTGGCCATAGCATCTTAATTAAAGGTCAGAACGACCTACTTTTAGTGCGTGACACACCTTCTACCCAAGAAGTATCAGCTGACAAAGTTTGATAATCCTAGGCTTAATAGTATTAAAGTTATGAGCCGGACACGAGAAAAGCTAACAGACAGACAGACGGATGGACATGAACGCCATAACATAATACGTCCCGTCTAAAGACGGGCGTATAAAAAGTCATTCAGATCAGATGTGTATACATTAAGATATACATGTAAATGGAATACTTTAGATTCTCATGACTTCACAAAATATTAAAGCCAACATGGACAAAATTATTGCTTAAATCAATTTGAAAAGCATATCTAGTGCCTTAGTTTAAACTTCTGGATACATAAAACAATATGTTTCCAGACTTGTCAATATTAATCGTCATTATTATAAATCATTCGTTAAGCCCATATTCATTGTTTTTTAACTATGACTTACGCATGAATATTCATGACTTGTCCGGGACTACAGAAGCCACACTGACTGCCATTATACTGGGCGAGGCGTTTAGGGACAGACTGATCACTGGTAGAATCAATGCCTTCAATGGTGGTTATCTCCCACCCATCACAGGAGAACAGGGGCACCAAGCACTAAAAAAAAAACAAAACAAAACAAAGGACTTCTACATATGTTCTATACATACTGGAAACAGAATTCATTATCTACAGATTTGTTATAGTACTCATGTATAAATATATATATGATATATTGACAATACACAGGAACTATGAAAATAAAGTTACAAAACATATATTTGAAAGTATTAAGTAAATATATTCTATAGTATTATTGCTTTTTCATTTATATGATAAATCTTGGACTACAACACAGCACAAAGAGACTTTTGTGACTTGAACTTTAAAAATTTGTTATTTAATAACAAATTTGAACCTACTGAATTCACGGCGTAGGTTTGTCTTTCCATTGTTATTGGCTCATACAGTTTAGCTTGTACCAGACACGTCCCACACCCCCCTTCCTTGCACATATACTTAGTTCCCATGGAAATTCTGGAATCTCGTAGGAAGGAATTCAATGTTGAGGACCCAGAATACTCACTTCCAACTGTAAATAAAATCTTGTAAATGTTAGTCAATAACTAAAATTTGTGTGTTCTGTATATCTTTTATGTTTCACGACATTATATAATTTTGTTTGGTAAATGAATCATTATATCATTACACATATAATTACCTGAGTAAGATTTCCCATTAACAGTGACTGTAATGCTGGACTCCACACCGTTGGAACACCTGAACTTGAAGAAATGTCCACAAGATTGGCAGGTACCCATAAAAATGCCATTTTTCAAGTTGCGTTTTTGAGGAATATGTCTGTAAACAATTTGAAAGATATTATCACCTTTTGGACGATATAATTTACTGAAAATTCATACCATTTCATATTAAGTATTGCATTCAAACTTCAGGGATCGTAAATTAGCTTAGTTTTCTATTGTATGGTATATACTCCCAGAATTATTGAAGGGGCATGACAGTAATTAAATGTTGTAGAGTATATACTGTCAAAGAGTGGTGGGTGGGGGATCATAGCACAGCCTCCCTTGCTCACCGCCTTCCTCTTTTCCTACGGACCTGTCATTCGCTGTCTTCTAAATTTTCTACTGGCAGACCTTTGACCACATATTTTTGGACTCCCTACATATTTTAATATTTCACTACAAACTTTAATTAAAATTAATTACAGCATTAGGTAATATCGATATGAAATTGTATAATTTGTGGCACAGATGGAGGTCGAGATGGGGGGAGGGGGCGGAATTAAAAAATAAAAAACAAGTGACATTGACTGTGTAGCAAATGAATAACCATTCTGTATCTATGACAATCTTCTCCTGAATACATTTTATAAGTAAAATACTTAGATACATACAAGGCTGAACAAACTGGACAGCTCAGCGACTCCCTCATCTTCTCCATTTTTTTTAATCACATGACCAGTTAGTGGAGAAGAGTTGCCTGCTCTTGGTTCAATGATAATTGTTCTACGTCAGTTGAACGTAGAAATAACAAATCAGTGTATTTAATTCTGATGGTAAAATGAAATTCTCTGCAGAACAGCTGTCAGAAAGAGCTAGAAAGGCCTATTATGCTATAAAAACTAATTTTCCAGCTAATATAAATTTTTCTGTTGAGACAATATTAAAACTTTATAGATCTATGATTACTCCAATTTTAACTTATGGTTCTGAAATTTGGATTGCTGACTACAAATGTGATTTATTTCCCATTTGAAAAAATACAACGCCAGATATTTAAAGACATCCTGGGTGTTCATAGAAAATCATCTAATATTGTTGTTCTATACGAGTTGGGACAGTTCCAACTATTTTATTCAGGTTATGAAAATATGTTTAAATTTTATTCAAGATTGAAAAATTTAGAGTCAGAGAATGAGCATCAGAACCAATTAGTGGTGTCTGCATTTAAGGAAGATAAAACATATCTTGGCAAAGAAAACCTTTTACTCTTCAACAGAAATTGTCTTTATCCTCATTGGACCAGTCTGATTAAAACCAGCCCCCTTCTCCTTTCACTCGTCGAGTGAAAGGAGAAGGGGGGCTGGTTTTAATAAGACTGCTCATTGGACATACCACATAAAATTTTAAGAGTCTGACATAAATTAGAGGAGCACTATAGGAACAAAATCTGTGAACAGTTAAAGAACATTTCTAAATCAGATTCTGGAAAATTAACTTTTTATAGTAATATAATAAATTTATAAATTACAGAACTACCTACAATTACCATTGAAGAAATCTGAAAGAACAATCCTAACAAAACTAAGAATTAGTGCTCATACACTACATATTGAAATAGGGAGATACTCAAGGCCACCTATTCCTAGAGAAAAACGTGTATGCCATGCTTGTAAACTTTTTATTGAAAATCAAAAACATTTTATACTTTATTGTCCTAGTTATGATCAGTATAGATTACAGTATTGTGATATATTTAATGCTCAATGTTACATGAAGGAAAACCTATTATTGACATCATCAACCCTCCAAGTATTAAAATTGCTAGAAGAGTATGTAACTTTCTGAAAAAATGCTTTAATATTAGAAAAGAAAAAACTTCAACATAACTGATATGCTTACTGGAATAATTTTATTGATTTTATGTATGTTATTGTTTATTGTATTCATGACTATATGCCAATGTATGATGGTGTTGTCAATAAGTAAAATTGAATTGAAAATTGAAATATTAAATTAATATGCTTATGAAGAATATTGTTAAATTAAAATGATCAAAATCAAATAAAATTAGAAATACTTTAAATATTTTTATCAGACAAATATGTGGACAATTTTCATTTCCGAACCAATCAAGCCGAAAGTTAGAATAGTCCGAGTCTCGGGACAAGCCCTCGGCACACCGGGTCCGTAGGACAATATCATTTTAACGATGGAATGTTTTATCTTCATCAAGTCGTTACAAATCTTTAGGTTAAAATAAAGTCAATTTATTTTCACTAGCAATAAAAACTACCACATATAAACGTTGACCGTTGAGGGATCTGACTAGAAAATTATATAGCATTTATCCCCCCCCCCCCACCCAGTTCCTGGCAGGTACGCTTGGACGTTTTTCAAATTGAGGGAAGGGGGGGGGGGGTCATAGGCGAGACCAATGAGAATGCAGTACTATGATATATTGGTCACATTTCATCGAATTCAAATATTTGCAAAATCAACACATCTTTCTATTTTTTCATCTACTTGCGAGTTAAAAAGTTTTAAAGTAAAAAAAATCTTCCATTGAACCTGGCTTTTCAAATCATGCAACAATGAACATCAGTCACATTATGGCAGACTCCTGGGGCCAGTTTTATAAAACAACTAGCACCCAAGACAAAAATTTAACTCTGCCAATAACTTTCTACTTTACATAAATTTGAAAACGGTTTTATTCTTTTTAAAAACAATTTAGAGTGGTATTTTTATGTTTACAATTTAATTTTTGCAAAAATTTATAATCAACTTAAGGTTTTGGTTTTAGTTGTACATGCAAGTTCTTGAGCAAAACGGGCCCCTGACCTCATCCAGTTGAAATATTCCAAATGCCGATTCATGCCACTCACCAACTGAAACATGCTCCAAAACATTTGCTTGAGGCAGTTACGACACTAGGTGATCTAAACATCTAATACTTGACTTGAATATCACTATGACCAAATGATTTTGGCCAAGATTTCAAGTTCTATATAGTTCAAGCCATAATTTTGATCCCATATTGTGCCCCTTAATTAAAGAGAGTTTGGGATATTCTGCCATCATAGCAAAAATGAAAGATAAAACTAAAATATCCAATTTTTATTTGACATAATTAATGAATTCTGTTACTACAACAAAATTGTTCTTTCCGTCGTACTTCCTTGCGATGTATATTTTTCATCAAAAAACAGACTGTCCAATAAATGACCTGCTTTGGTCTTTCAAAATTAAATAGTGGCATGATTTTGTCATTTCTCTTTAAATTTGAATTAAATAGAAGCTGATGGGATCTTAAGGTTCCTAAGTTCAGCAAATTTCACTTCTTTCCACCGGCTTTTTGTGCAGCTTTGGTCACTTTGCCTTGAGCAGCCTCCTGCTTCTCGACCTCCTTGATGACACCGACAGCAACGGTCTGCCTCATGTCACGTACAGCAAAACGTCCCAAAGGTGCGTACTTGGAGAATGGCTCAACACACATTGGTTTGCTGGGAATCATAAGGACCATAGCAGCATCTCCGCTCTTGATCATTTTGGGGGCCTCTTCTAGAACTTTTCCACTACGACGATCGCATTTCTCTCTGATTTCAACAAATTTGCAGGCAATGTGAGCAGTGTGACAATCAAGGACTGGTGCATATCCGTTCTTAATCTCACCTGGGTGGTTCAGGATAATGACCTAAAATAATACAAGGATACATTAAGCATTTAGGTCTCAGCTAACAAAATGAAGTATTGCAATACCTAACCTACGTAAACAAAATCACACTTGAGTGTGAACAGGACAACACCCTCTTGTCCAAATACCCGGTATTAGCTCGTATGTTCATGACAACAATCAGAGCTACTATTTCCAAATTACATTTACAGCTCAGACTTTAACAAATGCCATAGCCTTGCCCAAATTACCTTAGTCAAGGGAATCTTTACAAAGTATATACAAAAACATTTTACTTTGGAATTCTGAGCTAAACCTTGTCCAAATCAGCTTTATTCAGAATCATGAAACTATTCAGTCAAAAAAGATACAATTATGTCAAGTGTTTGCCTTCAATGTTTTTCAATAACAAAACTATGGCTTCAAATTGACCCAGTGGTTCTTGAGAAGAAGTTGAATATGTTGAAAGTGTACAGATTGATGCTGAAGCGTTATCAGAAAGCTCAGGTAAGCTTAAAAAAAGCAGCTAATCATACATATCCACAACCCTCCAATTTTTTTGCAGCAGATACTGAAACTTTACCAATATCAATTCATTGTTTGTTTATGGTCCATTAGTCAATATCTATTATCCTTACCTGGGCGAGGAAGTTCTTGGCACCCTTGGGTGGATCATTCTTGCTGTCTCCACAAACATTTCCACGACGGATTTCCTTGACAGAGACATTCTTAATGTTGAAACCAACATTGTCACCTGGCAGAGCTTCTGGGAGGGATTCATGGTGCATTTCAACAGATTTGACCTCAGTGGTGATGTTGGGTGGAGCAAAAGTGACAACCATTCCTGGTTTCAAAATACCAGTTTCCACTCGACCAACTGGCACAGTTCCAATACCTGAATTCAAAATCAATAAATTTATAGCCAGTAAGCTTCTTGGAGTAACCCCCCCTTTTTTTTTTTTTTTTATTGAAATGCTCCGTTTCTCTTTCGACAGAATCTAACATTGAATAACAACAAAAGTTAAGTGATTATATTTCCAAAAATTGCACAACTGCCCATTCAAGGACAGGTTTATAATTTACCTCCAATCTTGTATACATCCTGGAGTGGAAGACGAAGGGCCAAATCTGTAGGCCTCTTTGGTGGCAGGATGGCATCCAAAGCCTCCATCAGAGTTTTTCCTTTAGCATTTCCCTCCTTCCTTTCAATATCCCAACCAGAGTACCAGGACATTTTGTCTGAAGGTTCAATCATGTTGTCTCCATGCCATCCAGAAATTGGCACAAATGGCACAGCCTTTGGATTGTATCCGATCTTCTTAATGTACTTCTCTACCTCACCCTTGATTTCTGCGAAACGTTTCTGAATTGAATAAATTTCAAAATAACATTTTTTACCCAATGCAGCCATATCATAGGAAAGTAAAAAGCAGTATTGTAGTTCATGTAGCTGGTTTACCTCACTGTATGCTGGCTCAGTGCTGTCCATTTTGTTGACACCAACAATAAGCTGTTTCACACCCAAGGTGAAAGCCAACAGAGCGTGCTCACGAGTTTGTCCGTTGGGAGAGATACCTGCTTCAAATTCTCCTGTACCGGCTGCGATGATCAACACGGCACAATCAGCCTGTGATGTTCCTATAAAAATCAGACAGTAATAGGTTAAATCCTGATAAAGGCTTTTCTCTGCCTTCAATATAGAAAGAACCATGCAATATATTGCCACCTACACAAACGATCTAAATTTAGGAATACAGCAACAAATGTCAACTTCTTTAATTATGAATACAACCTATTTAAGAGTGCACATATCCTAATGAATACTTATCCCATCACTTGTTCTTAATATTTTTTTTAAACTCTTCTTAATTTTTTTAATTTGGGAACACTTTCACTTTATTTTGAGAAATTGCAGCTTATTTTTCAATTGAATGGGACCAAAATTTGCTCCAAATCGGCCTTTAAAAAATCATTGGCAGATGGCAAGTGTTACTTCCCTGAAGAATTAATTTTTAATGACTTGCTCATATCAAACAACTACCTTATCAGGATGCTTTTAAAATTACTGAATAGTTGCATGCATCTCATCAATGACACTATGCAGGGTTTTCTTGAAAGTTTAACAGCAAAGACAACGAATGGCAATAGTATACCTGTGATCATGTTCTTGATGAAATCTCTGTGGCCAGGAGCATCAATAATGGTGATGAAGTATTTAGTGGTTTCAAACTTCCACAGTGCAATATCAATGGTAATACCACGTTCACGTTCAGCCTTCAGTTTGTCCAACACCCAGGCATACTTGAAGGAACCTTTTCCCATCTGGAAAATTTCAAATTAAATATGTACTTCACTATTTAGCTCAACAAATGTTTGGGTTTTTTAAAACCTTGGTCAGGGTTTTCAACTTCTGAAACTAAAAGGTTTAACTATTTTGCTTAGGGTCTCTGGGTGCAAAGTTCCCCTAGCAAACATATTATTAACTGCTTCCAAGCAATATGGTGTCTCAAGAGAGTACTTTTAAATAATAGTTACTCGGTGTTGTAAGCAATAATTCAAGCCTTCAGGAATTACCCTTAATGGGTTTTAAAACAGAAACAAAACCACAAAGGAAACCGCATGAATTTTTGAAGTATACCTCAGATGCTTCCTTTTCAAACTTTGCAATAGTTCTCTGGTCAATACCACCACACTTGTAGATGAGATGGCCTGTGGAAGTTGATTTTCCAGAGTCGACATGACCAATGACGACAATGTTGATGTGCACCTTTTCTTTACCCATTGTTGCTCCTTATTTTTATTCTCTTGATCCTGAATATTAACAAGAAAAATATCATTGCATCAGTATTCAAATGTACTAGTGCTCACCAGCCGAGAAGAAAAACACAAAGTTTCAACAACTTACTGAGGCCAATTAATAGATTAGCTTCTGACAGATAAAAAAAATTTATGCTTGTAATAATGGCACCCCCAGATAATACAATGGCTATCAATAACAACTTGCATGTTCTACACTTGATCAAAGTTGCCTCACGATTTTCACTCAAAATATATGTTTAACTTTAGGACAAATAACAATTCAAACACATCCCTTTTTATAAGAAGTACAACCAACGAAGAAATCCTTATCATACACTTAAAATAACTTTTTACTACTCGCACATGGCGACATGCAATATTCCAAGATGGCCGCCGTCGTGAACACGTGTGAGATAAACACGATATTCTACAACTTGACTAAACTTACATAATTCATAGAGATGGTTTCACTTTTTCTGTACAACCTGACAATGTTTTTCAGTTTATTTGGAATTCTGAGTTGGAATTAGTTGGCATAACCAGCCCTCCTCCCTTTTTTCCAAGCTTATCAAGACAATGATACGCAACACCTCTGTCATTACTTGTAAATAACCTTCATTTCCAAAAATGGCTTTTCATAAAGGAAGGCATTTACTATATAAATATATATTACACGATACAAACAGTGCAACGTTAAATATACCGACAGTCGGACACACAAGGCAATATGTCAGCTTTATCAATGCCCGTTCGAAATGTCGAGACAGGGAATAACTACCGTTAGGAAAATAAAGTGTTGAACTTAAGTGTGGCAATTAAATTTCAGGAATACATACACTAAGACACCAATTATATAAGGCATGAATATTACACTTTTCTGTTTTATCATGATGAAATTTCAAGATGGCGACAGAAATTGTTTCAGCCGGCTACCATTTTTTTGAAAGAGAAAAATTTCATTAACTAAGTATACATGAAGACTGAAGATCACAAAAACTAACAAATTACGTGTTGGTAAAAAAATAAGATTAAAAAAGTTATTGGATGTCATTTACATAATTAGATTTTAGTCGGATTTATACACACATTCCACGTTGTACTTACTCTCTCAATCAGCCACAGCAAAAAGGAAAGAGAGTGGGCAGTCACGTGTTGAAAACGTCACGGCAGAGGATTTGCACGGTGTTACTAAAAGCCCGAAAATGGGAAAATAAGTCAATCGTTGTTTATAGATCAAAATATTAATTTACTTCGATCAATGAAAGTATGTTTAACATTGATCATTAATGAGACTGCTATATATAGATAGTCAAAGCAGCTGATAATTTTAGGAAGAGCTCAGTATTACTTGATTAATCTTGCTATTATTATCAGTATTATTATCTGAAAACCACCGTACCATTGTTTACATTGACTTTATGAAATTATATCATATACTTCTTAAAAATTACTAAATATAACACTTAAACTTTGTACTTAAATGAGTGTTTAATAAGATGTAAGTTTATACATTGTATTTTTTATTAAATTATATGAAAAGGTTATAACGGGTTATTAAAAATACCATGCAGATGCCGTAAAAATATATAAATAACTTTTCCTTAGATCACTCAAATGTTTTCAATTATGGTTCAGTCATAACAAAAGAAAAACACGTGCATGGCCCTGACTAATTGCACAATAGGCAAGCATATGATCGATCATTGATCGGTGGCGGATCCGGTGGGAAGGGGGGTGGGGTTACAAAAATATACTATAGTTTGCTATAGTTAACTCTACTGTAAACTATAGTTAATTATAGTGATAACTTTGTCACTATGAAAACATGCATATAATTAACTATAGTGATAATTAACTTTTTTCACTTTGACTTACTATAGTGATCAATATGAAAACTTTCATTTACTGTAGTAATCAGTCAAATGTACTTTATATCATTATTTATAAGATGATATCTATATATCTCGTTTGATGTACTTAATGACATTAATTAATATAATGTGACTTACAAACATAATTGAAGAAGACCAATGAAAATGAAAGACAAACATTATTCATTTTAGACATGTTTTGCCAGTAGAAGTCATTGAATAACATAAGGTATAAAAAGTAGCAAACTAGAAAATAAATAGAGGATATTCAATATTTTGTAGATGAATATGGAATTTATTTCACGAGTGGGACAGGATTTTTTGATATTTTCACGAGTGCGAAGCACGAGTGAAAATGTAAAAAAAAAATCCTGTCTCATGAAATAAATTACATATTCATCTACAAAACATTGAATTTTCTGTTTATTACATTTTCTTTGATTTTCCCTTTGCCTCTGTCTTTTCTTAACACAGTGTCATAGGCTAGACGTCATAGTTGAGCGGTTGAAACGTCATAGCTTAGAAGTTGTGTGATTGAAAACATTACATAGCATGGATTTTAGCAACATATTTGGGAAGAAATTTTCAGTTTTAGCTCTATCAAGATGCTTAGTTACTTTCTCTATTTTATGGCAGGCCAGAAATTATCTTTTACTTACTTTGATATCCTTTCACACTGTGAGAGAATATCATTTTTGGTATCCTTTCACACTGTGAGAGAATATCACTTTTATTCAATGAATAAATCACAGTATTTCACTGTTGAAAATGTAATAAAATTCAAAATAAATTGTGTTGCACGCAATTAAAGTACATGGGAATTGTTGGAAATGACATCAACAAATATCTTTGGTAAAATGAGAAAATCTGCAAAACTGGAAAATACCTATAGATCTATATTGTGAAATTAAATGAGACTTCTATTACAGAACATTGTACACTGCAGACCCTTGATAAGCTAAAATTTTCAGCTATATTAATGGTTATTTATCATATTTAAGTACATAATTTTTTTGGTAATATGGAGACAAATATCAAAATTTCATTATACTTGAATGTGTACTTACAGGGTACTGTCCTACGGCGCACGATCAAAACATCCAGGTTCCATTAGATAATTATTTCGAAATAAAAGTATTTACATATAATATGGTTGGGTTAAAAATTATCATATTTTTAATCCACTATCGATTATGTCGTCATTTGGAAAATTTCAAGGCTTTTACTTAATTACAACACACACAAAAATGGCGACGTTTGACGACGTTCGGCGCACCGGAGAGCAGTTCGGTTTTATTTTGATGTAGCAGTGGCGCCTTATAAGAGACTTTAAAAACTACAGAAGAAAAAGAAAAAAAAATGGGGACAACTTCAAAAAATAATCTGACAAGCCAACGTGGGTATGTTCTTGTGTATATTCTCTTAAGTGTGTGTAGCAAGCGTCATTTTTATTTTGTTTTTCTCATTGTTATTTTTCTTCCTAATTTTGAATTAATGTCTGTTATTGCTGTAAATCTTCTGCATTTGTTCTTTAATTATTTTTCCTGTAAATTCAACCATATTTTGTCGCTTTTTCTCTCTCATACATACATATTGTACAAATCCATTAGACTTCTTCTGTATAATTAGAACGTCATTCATTTGTGTGAATTGACATGATTTCTAACTTAACATGCATGTCAATTTCAAATATATTTTTTTAAGCAGCTTCAAACCGTGTTATGTAGCTATCTAATAAGGGTCTGTCATCTTTATCATCATAATAAGGAAACGGATTAGTATAAGTTTTCAAACTTGTTTCCGAATCCTTTTTGATTTTTTTTTGTACTACGTATCTGTATCTTCTGCTCGTCATTTTCAAATAAAATATGGTTTAAACTAAAACAAAAAAACTGTCCAAATTCTGTACTTGCCAGGGGTGGGGGAGGGGGCAACAACATCTAAATGAAAATTTACTATAGCAAAATACTATACTCAGAAAAAAGCCCCCCCCCCCCGTTCAGCGGGCCTGAATAGGGTACCAGTCATAGTTCTCCAGGGGGAAAAATGTTCAAAGACAATGAGGTATTAGTGAACAAAAATCACTGTTGTTTAGTCACATTGGGGAATTCCTTGCAATTCCATTGGGATCGGATTCCTTGCAAATAATGTTTTCAATTACTTTCTTGGTCTAATTTAATGTTAGGAATACTTAAACCTATTTCAAGTTGTGCCATTCACTATAAATATCCGTTCATTCCATATTCCATCAAAGAATAAATCACTCTAACTGCAGAAAACTACCCTAGAAATGGAACTCTTCAGTGAGCAATGTTTAGAGCTTCCCCATGCATAAAGCTCGGGTGATTATGATCAACAAGAGTGTAATGGATATATGCCGAATACTGTTCTATATGTAAAATTATCAGACTGTTTTACGAAATGAAGAAAAATGGGTTTACAATGGAAAAGAACTTGAAATAGTAGATAGATTCAGTTATCTATGAATGTGTTTCAATTATAATGGTAAATTTAATATAACTCAAAAGCACGTAGCTGAACAGGGAAGAAAAGCATTTTATGCGTTGAACAAAAAATTCTGCAACTTTGATTTTAATGTCGAAACTCAAATATCACTTTTTGAAATGTATGTATGTAGTATTCTTAATTATGGAGCAGAGGTGTGGGGATTTCATAAAGCTCCAGATGTAGAAAAAATACAAAGTCTCTTTTGTAAAAAGTTACTTCGTTTAAAAAAAAGTGCCTGTAACAATCTTGTGTATTTCGAACTTGGAAGAATGCCTATGAGGGAATCTAGAAAATTGAAAATTATAAAATATTTTTTGAAACTAAAGGGGACACAAAATATTCTACTAAAATCATGCTTGGAAGAAAGATTAAGGAATAATGATAGTTGGATCAGAGATATTCAAAATGAACTTAATAAACTGGGACTTGGCTATATATTTGATGCAGATTTCAATGATAATACTTACATGTTAGTAAAACAAAGATTCCTTGAGGTGAATAATCATACTATGATTTCTAATATTTGTAGCAATGCCCGTAGCCCGCTATACCAACATTTGGTTGATAATTTTGGTATACAATATTACTTGCGTAAACCTATTAATTATATGTACAAAATACAAATTGCTAGAATTAGACTATCTGCACATAATCTAAATGTTGAAACTGGTAGATATGTTAATGAAATTAGAAAAAACAGATTATGTAAAATGTGCTCTTTGAATGTTATCGAAGACGAATTTCATTTTATTTTACAATGTCCTTTTTATCATGACCTTAGATCTAAGTATTTGAAAAAGTATTATTATAAGAAATCCAGTGTTTGGAAATTAATTCAACTTCTAAGTGTACAAAATATAAAGGAACTTTGTAACCTTGGAAAATATTTATATCAAGCTTCCACTAGAAGAATGAAACATTTGTAAATTTTTAGTGTTTTATAATTACAGATGCCTGTTAGAAAACACGTCCTACATAGTTTACTTGCTATTTATTGATTATGCTCACTCTCATATTGTTATATTTTACAATATTGTATATATGTTTATATATGTAATCTGATGTGTCGTATGACGCAAAGAAATAAAGAACTTGTACATATGAGACCTGAAACCATCTAATAAGTAGACAAAAGAAAAGAGAAAGTTTTTTTTTCTTTAGACAGTAAAATCAGTGAGTGAACTCTTTTGTTTCATTCATTCAATGGCATGCAGTCGTTTGGCTTAGCAGGAACTATGGACAGTGGTTAGGTGATGATGGATTTTTTTATGATTCGGAATATTTTTTTTTTTTTATTAAGTGCGTTTGACATTGATACAGATACAGTGTTGGATGATATCTTCAAAATGCATTTAAAGTAAAAATGCGGATTTTTATTTTAAAATTTCGATTGGATGATATAATGAAAATCTTGGGTTTTAAAAGTGCGGTCATTGCATGGCGAACAAACCTCGTTAAATGAAGAGATTCGCAGACTGGAGCTTTATCAGAAATGGATTTAAATTGGCTTATTCACAGTGCTGTATCAAAAATGCTTTGCAAAAAACGGAATGTAAAGTGTTACTTTTGAGGAAGGTTAAAACTCCAGTTTCTTCTTGGATTTGCTATTTTTAACAACTTAATTTGCGCGCGTTCGCTTTCCCTGAATTTTTTCTCCCTACCTTTTTTGGGGGGTTTCTGGACAAATTAAACCTTGATTTCACTCGATCTAGTTGTGTTTTAACTACTGTCCGATTTTGTTATCACTGCCGTCCGATAATATATTATTGGACTGCTAATTATTATTATCGGACGGCTACAGGTAAATTTTTAGACTGCAAGACCAAAGGCA